ATTTTTTTGTTCCACACACCCACCCACACACCCACAATCTGGTACAGCTATCTTAATGGGGACCTGGCATTGACTTCATTATTTTCTACGCCTAACCCTGACCACCAACCCTAAGGCTAACCTCACAGGTACCTACCTGACCCTAAAACTAACCTAAACTCAATTCACACCTTGGTCCTAAACTTTAGCTCCAACCCACCAATAGCGTTTCCCCTTATGGGGATTAGACTCAGGCCCCATAAGCACCAGTCAGGTCCCCATAAGTAACATTAGGTCCCCACAAGTAGGGATGCCAAAAAAAACTGTCCCACAGCATAGGGAATACCAGTTCCCCCAACACACACATATACATTTTATCTGCTGTTTCAAATTTATTTTAGTGACAATAATATACCCTCAACTTTGTTTACTGTTCGTAATAAAGCTGCTATTCATAATTTTTTGTTGTTTTTAGCAAGTTTTGCTGACACACAAGACTGCTCCTTATCCTGAGTCTTATACACTCAATAAATACTCCATAACATTATTTTATAAATGAGTTTTTCAGTCACCTGTTTGAAGAGATTTTTTTTCTTCCCAGGCAATATGACTTTTTCTTTCTGTCCACACATGCAGTGTCTCATAAATCAACAAGATGCCTGTATCTGCTTTAAAAAAAAGCCACAACTCTAAACAAAATGAGCCCTGTAAATAAAGACTGTGGCATTTTCTTTGCCTTCAGACGTGTGTTTATTATCTGCACTGCAGCCACACCCGTTTTAATCTGACTCCAGCAGACAACATCAAAAGCTGCTTCTCTTAAATTCATTTATATAAAAGAAACTGCAGCTTTATAGCCCTTTTCGACTTAAATGGATGAAGCATGCACAATTTTAAAGTTCCTCATTAGAGGTGTTGGAASAGCACAATTTGTGGGTTTACAGAAAACAATTAAGCCGTTTAAACATCAAGTGTTTCAAACAATATTTGTTATAATCGACCCACTTAGCAGCAAAGTTGCAAATAACAGCTAAAAACAGCCTCTTTCAATCTTTATGAGCAGCAATGGTCTTTGACAAAACCCTTTAAAGAGGCACAACACAATAGTTTCTCAGGCCTGCAGAGCTTATTAAGTATGATGCAATTTAAAAGTGTTTGTTGATAWACGAACCAACATGGATACATATTCTTTTCCAAGTGTCAATAACCAGAATCTCTACAACAAATTTAATGTTAATTATGTAATGTTGCTCCATACTTTTCAAATGTGTATTTTCAAGTTTACTGAATACTTCTGTGTAATCCGTGATTTATAAGTAAAGTAGAACATTGAAGAAACACATCCCGCTTTTTCTTTAAAAACAACTCTCTAAGATGTATCATTATTATAGATTTATGTGCTTCTTTTGGAAACACAAACCCTCCTAAAACTCTGGTTTCAGATTCTGGTCCGAAAATTTAAATCTGGCTGTGATTTCCACTTTTCCACTTGTGGATGCAGTCTGTGCTTTATTTGTTTGCAAAAACAGTTTGCCAATTTTGCTGTGAAAAAAAGGTGTGAATTACTGTAATTTGGTGCAAGAAAAGCTCCACCAGAAGAACAGGATTCTGTGCTTAATAATCCTATGCATCCTCCAAGCACAGTAAATTATCTGATTTGCAAAAAAGGAACCATAAAAATCAAATTTTACAACACTTTTCTGTTTGGACGCCATAACAAAATATCACTTATGTAACAGTAACATGGTAGTTATGTTCAGTTTGCAACCCTTCAACAATCAGCAAAGAAATGTTTAACCAACGTACTTATTTTCTGGCCTTTTTTTGCATAATGAGCAAAAGGAAGCTTACCTGGGACACAGGTATAACAATAAAAGAGCCTCCGCCGGCACTTTCCGTGACGACGGCCAGGAACTTGGAGTTGACGGCACAGAAGTGGTTGTCATGAACATTCTTGGTGATGGGGATGCCATCGAAGCAGTGCTCTCGATTAGCTACTTTTCCATAAACATTTCGAAACTTGGAGCTTCGGTAGGTTGGACGCCATGACATCTAGGAGAGAGGGGGAAAATAATCAGAAAAAGKTTGACATAAACACTTAGTAGCCTGACTGTGATGGCATCAGTAAGCTTTGGAAAACCTTTTTAGAGACAAAGATGAGTTTATWGTAGAGGTCTTCAATGATGGGGTACTGCAGGGGGTCACACATTTTATAAGTTACAACAGGTCTTTAAACACACATTACCAGGAATTCAACATGTAGCAAACTGATGAATGGAGGCATAAAWTWTTTTTTTCAGTCAAAAATGTGCACATTCAGCTGAATTCTGCTTCACTCACAGTCTGACCTTCCCTGCGTTCTGCACACAACCCATAATTGCAATATTTTTAAAACACTGCCTCACCTAATGATAACAGTCAAATAATGTCAGTATACACAATGTGCTCTATTGCCAAAAGTATTTGCTCACCCATTCAAATGACTATGCACCAGTGCACAAAGCAAGGTCAATAAAGACATGGATGGCAGAGTCTGGTGAGGATGAACTTGACTGGCCTGCACAGAGTCCTGACCTCAACCTGATAAAAAAAAAAAAAACCTTTGGGATGAATCAGAGCAGAGACTGAGAGCCAGGCCTTCTGTCCAACATTAGCATGTGATCTCACAAATGTGCTTCTGAAAGAATGGTCAAAAACCCCATAAACACACTCTCAAACCTTGTGGACAGCCTTCCCAGAAGAGTTGAAGCTGTTCTGGCTGCAAAGGATGGACCAAAAATCATATTGAACCCTATGGATTAGGAATGGGATGGCACTTAAAATCATATGTGAGTCAAGGCAGATGAGTGAATACTTTTGGCAATTTAGTGTATATATTATGAATACATCATATAGACTATAAACATGACACATCATCAAGTTGGGTGTCCCAGACTGTAAAGCCCTGGTGTATAGTATTTGTTTAGTAGAGTGGTAGTGATATTAGAGCCTTCCACACATCCTTTTGCCTTAGGATGTCATGTTCAGCCTGCAAAAGCAGAAGACGTAAACTGTAGTCCATTATCATTTGTGATTGTGCAAGGGTTTCCTTCTAGTGCAAAAACAGAAGTTCAGAATTCCACAACAGTATTTGTTGTCGTGTTTATCAGGGGTGATAACAAACCTGCAGTTTAAATGGATTCACAATTCCAACAACTATGTGTTGAAATGGACCTTCCAGAAATTTACCAGAAGTAATGGGGCAGGTGTTTTGTCTGACAGATAATGCAACCCATTCTCACTCCCAACTCGTCACACATTTACACTTGGTCCAGGTTCCCTTTGCGTCTGGTTTTGACGTGTCGGGTTGAGGTCAGTGCAGACCAAATCAACCAAATGTTTCCACCAATAAAGTTCCCTGAGGTGTTGCACAGTACTAACCACACTGGTGTCCTTCACSAACAACATTTCCTCACTGAAACCTGGGAACTACAAAATGATTTCTTTTGAATATTAGTGGTGTTTTGGTCAAAAGTTTGTGATGCACAAGGAAGTACGGTTTGACTTCTTCTCGAATGGCCTTCATCGCTTTAGACCATCTTGAGAGGATGGTGTGTCACAGGAAGTTGAGGACAGCCTTTAGATTCAGCTTTAATGCCAACATTAATGTCAGCTTATTTAGAAAGCATATCAAAAACAAAGTGCTCTACAGTTCAGTCAGGGACTTGTGTCATTAGGCATAAAACCAGCAGAGYTCAGTCAGGACAGGAAAGCAATTTCTGTACTGCATGACCTGCAGGTAAGTCTCATAACTGGTCATTCTTTTAGTGCTTAGCAGAGCGGTGAGGGCCTGGTTCTGTGTGTGATTCTGCATCCCCACACATACAGTATGTCCTCCATCTTTTATCCGCCCATGCACAAGCAAGAGTCTCTTTTTCTACAGTGAAGTACTTCCTCTTGGCTGGAGACAGGGTGCCRGATGCAAAAGCAACAAAGCGCACTGTCTGAGTGCAACTGTGTCAGAACAGCTCCCTATCCACAGACTGAGGCTTCTGCTGTGATGGATGTTGGCAGGGCAGGGTTGTAGATGGCAAGTGATGGGCAGGAACATTGTTTTGACATTAGTGGAATTTTTATTTGCTAAATCCGTCCGTTTTTTATTCAGCTTGAAAATTTGTTAGACGTCGCTCACTGTCGCATAGCTTGGTAGAGACTTGTCGAACCGGGAGCTTAAACCCAGAGAGCTGTCATTTGGATGCAGCAGTGGCAGTCAGGTGATCTGAACTGAGTCACAGACCCTCTGTCAAGAGGATAACTTAAGAAATAGCATTTCTTGGTTTCAACATGATGTGTGGTCTAGATGTTCCACATTCACACTTTACACTTTGCTCTGAAAGTTTTGGAATTGAAGTTGTACATTTTTTTTTGTTTGGAGGACAAAAAACTATCCATCTTATTTCACTCTGAACATTATAAACTTGTGATTATAAAGAATCAGTGTGATGTCACATTCCCATCCTCYTACAGGGTGGGCTGTCCCATCTGTGCAGACATGATAGCAGTCCCACATGTGGGAGCTGGAATCCACCCAGACACATGCGTGACTGCCATGCATTCATCCAAACTGTTGGGTGGGAGATGGATTTGCTCTAAAGACTGTGTTTACTGTGTCAGGAAGAAACAGCAAAAACAGAAAATTTCTGAGAATGAGTAAATTACAAACAAAAACAAAGAAAAGATGAATTTGTTTTATTGTTTGTCTTTATCGTGTAAAAAGAGAAACACAACCATTGCTTCCTCCAACAAGAGGTTGTATTTTTTTCAAAACTTGCTTTTTCAGTAGCATAAATCAATCCACACAGCTTTTAATTATCTTTTGGTTTGAGTTGGTTCGGCCACATTTAATATTTAAATATAAATTGTTTCTCAGTTTACAGAGGTTTTATGGAATTCCCTGAAAAATGCCAAGTTTGGAGGAGTTTTCTGAAACAGGATGCGCTCCTGAATTTATTTTCAGCAAAGCTGTATCAGTATGTGCCTTGAACTGTTGGGAGATTTATTCCTCCTGTCAGATCAGTGGCASAAGTGCCGGATGACATCAGGCAATCCTCTATTCAGTATTGTTCTGCAGACGAGAGGGGTCAGCTGCTGCTGCTGGTGGGAGTGGTGTGTGCATGCAAACAGAAACATCCTCTGAGCGAGCTGTTGTTGTCTCACAGCAGACTGGAAAAGCCTGATGAAACAAAGGGACAGGAATCTCTTTGCTTCTAAAATAACTGAGAAAATGTGCTAATCAAGGGCTGTGCAGTCCTTGAAGGAACGCCTATCCCTCACAACATCCCCCGCCTATATCCCCCATATATATCCCCCACCTATACCACAACATTAGACTTTGATCACTTTATGTTGAGAAGTGACATACATGAGCTGAGTTAAAAATAAGGTTATTGTCAATCTCATCATTATAGTGAGACATCTTGTGAACAACTCTCAGCTAATATCACCCAAAGTTTTAGCTCGATATCTGAAAAACTGAGCCAGTTAGAACCAGTTTTGTTTTTGTCTTTTTTGTTTTGTTTTGTATTGATTTATTTTGGCCACGCCTTTGTTATAAGCAGCCTGGATTACTGTAAGGCACTTTATCTCTATACAGTGCGGTGTGGTTGAGTCCAGAGTTCAGGCT